CAATATCGTACTTTGAAGAACTTGAAAAAATAGTACTTCGTTTCATATGGAACCTGAAAGAAATCCTAATAGCCAATGAAAATCTAAGAAATAAAAACTTATCTGGAGCCATCATATTACCAGACTTCTGGTTATGTGACAAGTTTACAATGATCAAAACAGCATGCCACTTGCACAAAAATAGAGATATAGACCTATGGAATAGAATAGAGAACCTAGAGATGAAATCAGCCACATATCACCATCTGATCCTCTATAAACCAAACAAAAGCATATACTGGGGAAAAGAATTCCCATTTAATAAATGGTGCTGGAAAAACTGGTTAGCCACATGTAATCTGAAACTGGACCCACACCTCTCATACAAAAAAGTGACTCATGCTGGAGAAAAGATTAAAATTTAAGACATGAAATGATAAAAACTCTAGAAGAAAGTTGACAATTTTGGCCTGGGAAAAGATGAAGAGGACCCCATTCATAATTGAAACAACACCAAAAATAAATAAATGAGACATGATCAAGTTAAAAAGCTCCTGCACAGCTAAGGACACAGCAACTAAAGCAAACAGACAACCTTCAGAATGGGAGAAGATGTGCATGTTACACATCTGACAAAGGGCTGTGTTTTTACTTTTTGATAATGACCATTCTGAAAAGGGTAATGTGGTATCTCACCGTAGTTTAATTGACATTTCCTTGATAATTAGAGATGTTGAGCATTTTTTTCAGGTGTTGGTTGCCATATTCATATCTTCTTTTGAAAAGTGTTCCTATTTTTGCCAACTTTTTCATAGCGTTACTTGGCTTTTTTCTTGTTGATTTGAGTTCCTTGAAGATTTTGGTATTAGTCACTTTTCAGAAGGATAGTTTGCAAATATATTCACCCATTCTGTAAGTTGTCTTTTTACTCTGTTGATTATTTCTATTGCTGTGCAGAAGGTTTTTTTGTTTAGTTGTTTTTATGTTTGAGGTCTTAGTCATAAATTCTTTGCCTAGGCCTATGTGAAGTATAGCTTTTCCTAGATAGATTTTCTTCTCTGACTTTTGTGGCTTCAGGTCTTACATTTACGTCTTTGAACCATCTTGATTTAATTTGTGTATATGATTAGATACAGGGTTTCATTCTTCTACATGTGGTGCTCAAATTTTCCAAGAACAATTTATTGAATAGAGTGTATGTTTTTGCCTGTTTTATCAAAGACTGACTGACTGACTTTAAGTATATGGCATTATTTCTGAGTTCTCTATTCTGTTCCATTGGTCTAGGTCTCTACACTTGTACCAGCACCATGCTTTTTTGGTTACTGTAGCTTTGTAGTATAATTTGAAATCAGGTAATACGATGCCTCCTGGTTTGTTCCCTTTGCTTATGATTTCTTTGGCTATTTGAGCTCTTTTTTGATTCTATATGAAATATAGGACTATATTTTCTAATTCTGTAGAAAATGACATTAATATTTTGCTGGGAATTGCATTAAATCTGTAAATTTATTTAGGGCA